ATGTACAAGCATTCTGTGTTTGATCACACTGATCAAAGTCTATGGCACAGCCTTCAGTGGCTGATCAGGTACCTGCATACAGTGCATGCATGCATGGAATGTATTTCCAATGGAATTATTATCTAAAGTATTTATTCCAGTTTTATTTATTGTCTTTATTTATTGATATTTATTGAAATCAATTTGTGGTTTTGTATTTATCTCTGTACTTTTTATGCAGAAAAGACAAACTGTCATCAGCATATGTGTTGTGTTTTATAACGTCATGATGTAATTTTTTTTTAAATAATGATAGTTCCTTACAGAGAAAATCATCACAAATAAATAATCCCTGGTTAAGTGAAATTATAAAGTTAACCTGCACTCCTCTTTTCTTTGAATGAATTTCTAAAACCCAGACTGTATATGCTGACATAAGGAGGAAGTTGTGCTTTCCTAAAACAATCCAGCTGCTCTAGCAGATCCTTCATGCATAGCCCTACTTCCGTCCAGTATGCATATTACCAGAGATGTGCTTTCTTCATGCTCTTGATGATGCAACACTAGAATAGTAGTATTTCAAAGCAAGGTATCATGTATAAAGGGGAAGAGGAAGCTGTAGTGAGCTCAGTGTAAAGGCACAGGATTGCTCAACAAGGAAGTCTGTCCTTTCTATGACTTAATGTAGAAGTCATTTGAACTCTTTTTGAATTGTTTGTCAAGACTCTATAGTTTATCTGCTGATGAAGTGTCACTCTGTTTGTTATGGCCCTCAGAGTAAAGGAGGAACTTTTTAAATAGACTTTCCAAAGTGCTTTCCAAGAAAAGCAATAAAATAATACAATTTAAATAAGATGCACAAACAAAAAGAAATAAATGTGTAGGATGAAAAAGAAAAAATACATAAATAACACAGAATAAAGTACAAGAGAAATTAATGAATGCAAGAAGACATCAGACTCTATGAGGCTGAAACACTCAGAAAAAAAAAGTTAGAATTTAGGTTTGAAATGTGTTTTTGATTTTAAGCAGTCATAATGAAATAAACAGATAATCACAAGACAATAATAAACAGTCTCTGGAAGGAGGAAAGTGGCACAAGTAGTCTGTACGGGCACGAGAACAAACCGGCAGTGGGCAGATAGGAAGGCAGGGTAAACATAGGAGGTCTGGTGATTGCAGGACTGAACAGTTCAACATAGTTGAAAAGGAAATTATAGAGATAGTGAATAAATGTGGTAACAAAACATCTAGTGATAGTGATGGTATCACTATGACAACTGTTAAATGGGTAATTGAGGGGATATGCAAACCATTAACCCATATTTTTAACATGTCGTTTCGACTTGGGCAGTTCCCCAATAATATGAAACTAGCAAAGGTTATTCCACTGTATAAATCTGGTGATAAGCACAACTTCACAAATTATAGACCGGTTTCTCTGTTGTCACAATTTTCAAAAATTCTGGAAAAACTCTTTAATAACAGATTAGATACATTTATTGACAAACATAAAATCCTCTCTGATTGCCAATACGGTTTTAGGTCGAACCGATCGACATCTTTGGCCATTACCGACCTGATGGAGGACATTACAAGTGCTATGGATGAGAAGAAATACACGATGGGGATATTTATTGACCTAAAAAAAGCATTTGACACAATCAATCATGAATTATTAATGGACAAGTTAGAAAAATATGGGATCAGAGGAATGGTTCTGAAATGGATTAGAAGTTATTTGACACAGAGGCGTCAATTTGTGAAGTTGGGTGAATACCAATCGAGTGAGCTGGACATTGTATGTGGAGTGCCTCAGGGTTCTGTTTTGGGACCTAAATTATTTATATTATACATTAACGATATATGCAAGGTTTCTGATTTAGTGAAAGTGGTTTTATTTGCTGATGACACTACCATATGGGCATCGGGTGAAAACCTACAGCAACTCTCTGGACAGGTTTCACAGGAACTTGAGAAGATAAAGAAATGGTGTGATAGTAATATACTATCTCTGAATTTGGATAAAACTAAATGTATGGTATTTGGGAATCGTAGACTAGATAATGAACTTCAATTGAAAATTGGGGGAGCTAATATAGAACGAGTACATGAAATTAAATTTCTAGGTGTCATACTTGATGACAAATTCTCCTGGAAATCTCATATCAGATATGTTCAGAACAAAATAGCAAAAAATATATCGATATTGGCAAGGATTAGATATATTTTGGATGGGAAAGCACTACGCATTTTGTATTCCTCATTGATTTTACCATACTTAAGAGTATGGCATTGAAAACTGGGGAAATAC